AAATTGCTTGGAGATACCTAATTAATTAGTCATTTTATTGAAGAAAATGAATTGTACAACAATGCATGCAAGGCACATGATATAACTCATATTACCTACAAATAAATTAAATTGTAATGATTGAATAAATATATTATTGATTTATTGTATGTAAATAAGTACTTGTTAATTAAAGGATGAAATATAACATGATATTTAAATGAGAAAACTAGCAAAATCACAGAATTCTTGATGTATTTAGTTGATGATTTTTTTATTTTTAATTTTTGTAATTGTTTATTTTTTATTTTATTTGAGCATTGCTTTGTACTGATGTTTTGTATGAAAAATAGTATATTTGTATATAGAATTAAAAAAAAAAAAAATGAATAGTAAAAAAATAATTATTAAATCAATACATCCTAGTAAAAAGTTAGTCAAATGATAATTGCACAAAAGTAGAATAAAAAAAATTAAAAACTATGTGTAAATGAATATTTAAGATAACATTTAATTTATGTTAAAATTCATAGAGATTGTTTATAGATCTTTACTAATTATTTTTTGAATAATTGATGTTGAAATAAAATTTTAATACAATCTAATCCTAAATTCCTTTTTTTTTTCAAATACTAATAATTATTTATAGAAAATGGGGAGAGCGTCGGGAAAATAAAAAGATTCTTTTGTAAATACCAACAATATTCGATGCATGCAAACTTTTCCGATATGGTATAAAAATTCAAGAGTGTTGAAAAATATTAATTCAATTATTGATTATGATATTATGTAAAAATAATGTGAAAAATGCAGGCCATTAATAATTTCATGGGAATGGTATTCATTTTATTGAAAAATAAAATCTTTTTCGTTTTATTGATTCATCAAATATAAAAAGTTATTTTTTATTATATCACAAGAATATTTTTAATTCAAATTTTTAGGGTGTGTTCTTTTTATTTTTTAATTTAAATAATAGTTTGATGTAATACTACACGAGAAAAGAAAATATTTTTGTTGAATATTGCGAAAATTGAATAGTAATATATATATATATTACCATTTTTAAATGACAAATTAATATCTCCCTCACATCCAAACAAACTATGGTTCAATTCTAAGAAAATGTAGTTAGGCATCAAATTTAGAATTAGAATTAGAATCTTTATCACAAGTGTACAAAGGAATTAGTTAAGCAAATTTAGACTTTAGAAATAAATATAATCAACCCTCTAACAATAATATATATAGAAAAATAAGCCCATTTTATAGAAGAAAAAAAATATGATTATAAAAGTCCTCTTTTATTATTATTATTATTATTATTATTATTACATAGGAACCCATATATAAAACTTCTGAGTTAGAATAATGTTATGATAACTAATTATTTGCAAATATAAATAGTGTGCTACAAATAAAATTTAATGATTGTTATGGGAATCTATTGAAATTTAATTCAATTATCATTCAAAAAAAGTCTTTTATTTATTTATTTATTTTAATATTATGCTCTATATATGCTTTTTAACTTGTTATATGATAATTTGACATTGTTATACTATAAATTATAATTAAGTCAATAAAATAAATATATGAAATAGATGTCCATGTAGGAAGAAATAAAATAAAATAAATACTAATATGTACTTATATATATATATGGTATAAGTATAAAAACTAGTCAAAATGGATTAGAATTGTGGAAGAAAATGAAAAAAATACTTTACATGTATATATATATATATATATAAAAGACTTATTTAAATCTGTAATTTCAAATTAATATAGGCGTAAGAAAGTTACCTAAAAAACACAAAAAAAGGCAAGCTGTACCTTGAATTGAACTCGACGGATTACATTTTGCCAAAGTTACTTTTTGAATTAAAAAGATTTTCTATTGAAAAATTGAAATAAAGAAACTAAAAGAAATAGTGACCCTTTAAAATAGTAAACAAACATACTAATTGTAGTTGCATAAAATTGGGTTAGAGTTTTTTCTTTTATAATTATTTTTTATTTTGGTCGGTTCCACGTGCTTTGTAATATTTTTAAAATAATAAATATTAACTATAATTTATTACATCATATCACTCACATTAAAAAAAAATTAAATTAAATATACACTTCTATTTCATTACATTACTTAATTACTAATTTATTCTACTGAATACAACCTATCTAAATTCTAATAATGAAATCCAAATGTTGCACTATACGTGGCGGGAGAAAAGGTATATAATAATAATAATCTTTTTATCTAAAAGGAATATATAAGTTTAATAAATAAATAAAAATACACACCCCCATTTTAAATTGTTGCCAAAGTAGTAATATAGAAATTCAGTCTCTTTTTTTTTTTTTAATATTCCGTGCAACGTTTTTAAATGAATTGATTTTTTGTGTGTAATACGGAAAATTGTGTCAAAAGTATAAAATATACTCTCTCCGTCCCACATAATTTGTCCCTATTTTCTATTTTTGTCTGTCCCACATAACTTGTCTTTTCTATTTTTGAAAATATAATTATGCACTTTAATCGCATTTTAAAATTTAAATTTTATAATTTTTTTAATTTTAATTAAAATATTTACTTATTTTAATCTTAATCTATAATTATTTTTACTAAATAATAATTATTTTTATTAATACACATTTTAATTACTTACTAATTATACTTTAGCTAAATTCTCGTGTCTACAGTAATAGTAATAGACTCGTATTACAAGGGATGGAGGGAATATTATTTTAAATTAAATATTATAAAACATTTTTCGTATTGCTTATTATCATTTTTTGGGAATCGCTATTGAAAAATTTGTTGGAAAAACAAAGCCAAAATAACTATAAAAATAACAATAGGCTAAAACTCTAGGCCAATAAATAAAACCATGGTGAATCATTGTATATTTATCACAGTTGTAATTTTATTATTACAAATTAATTTTATGAGTAACCCTACATATATATATATATATATAATAAAAACAAATGGATATGCTGAATTGTGAATACTATGAAATTAATTAAAATAAAATAAAATTACACAAACCTCAAGTGTGATTACATTTCTTGCTTGGGCATAGAAAATATTTGGTCCAAGTTTTCGACTGTGAATATTTTTAATTTTGTCATTAATTAGTTATTATTATTTTTGGATTTAATTATTACAGCAGTTGCCTTGAAACGGCAAATCACGAGTCAATACAAAATATAGCTTTAATTTAATAAAAAATATATACTCCCTTCATCACGGTGTAAAATTATCGTTTATTTTTTACACGCAAATTTTTAAATATTAGTATTATAATGAGTTGTAGTAAAAAGACAAAAATATCCCTATTAGTATTGTGTAATATAAAAGTACTGACATTTGTGTAATATAGTGTAAGTTGGAAGGATATTTATTGTGTTAGATATGTAGTACAATTACTAAATTAGAAAATGGTAACCTTGTTTTAGAATAGACGAAAATAAAAAATAAAAATTTTTTAATGGGAGGGAGGGAATATATATATTTATTTATTTCCGAATTAGTGTTTATGAATTATTTTAGCTTATCCTTATCTAATCACCTTTTCACAGTTACTCATGCACGGATTTGGTTTCCATTCACTTTTCTGATCATTTTGATTTTATTCAATATTTACAGCTACAAATTCCATGTAATATAGGGTTTGTTTGGTTTTGATTTTAAAATATAATTTTAATATGGGATATAATTATGATCCCTCCATCCGGAAAGTATGATATTATTGTGTTGAGCACGGGATCTAAGAAATATTGATATTATATCGGTAGTTGGTAGAAAGTAAGGATAAATAACTTTTTTGCCCTTGTGAGTATATTGGTGTAAAAAGTAGTGACAATTGTGTAATAATAATGAAAAAGTAGGAATACTTTTATGGTGATATAATTATATATGTAAATGAGACTATTGTTTTGAAATGGACAAAAATAATAAACAAAATTTTTGTATTGGGACAGAGGGAGTATTATATTTTCTCCTCTCGTCAAAACATGTGCATATGAGTTTTATACGTATAATATTAATGAATATATATAGTACTCTCTTTCTTTTATAAAACAAGGCTTAAAATTTTTGGCATACTTTAATTTAATATTAAATATTACTATTATATAAAAGTAGTATTAAATGAATAATAAATTTATTGATGGAATAAAAAGGGAAATTTTCAATTTTCAATTCTATATAAGGTTGAAAAAAAAAATTGAAAGTGTATTTATTTTTTTTAGATGAATGTATTATATTATGTATAAAAATCATATTTACAATATAAATAATATTTTTTAATGAATAGTTAATTTTTTTAAATAGATACAAATATATATTATATATTATTATATATATTGTATTTATTTAGTAGAGAAAATTGTTGTATACAAACCCTGAAAGACACAGAAGCTATGATCTTTTGTGAGTTTTATCACAAGTTTTACTATTTGTATTTTTTTTCTTTTTAAAAATATAAAAATCAAATAATTATTATTTTTTTTATATTATCTATTTTACATTCAAAACATCGTATATGTCAAAGACTTTTCTTTGCGAATAAATAATTAATAATGATATTTTCCAAAAAATTCGAATTTTTATATAGGACTGCCATTCTCCATCCACATAAATTTTTGTTTACGACTATTCAAATTTAATTTTTTATTTTTAAAAAATCCAAACCCACAGACAAACTCACGCAAAGAGTTAATTGACATGTGAGAGAGTGAACCACAGCCACAATGTGAAACCCACTCTATACCCACTCTATGGATAAACCTGTAATAACGTCATGCAATCAAATGATGACGTCATGAAAGTGTAATTCTTACAGCTGATCATTAATTAAGAATCATATGTACGTAGATAAATTAACCTTAACTTTTCCGACCAAACGCGCACTAGCTAAACGACAAAAAACCAACTCACAGCAAACCCGACAACCACTCTCTCTCCTCTGTATAAATACCCCTTTCTTTCACTGCTTCTTCCACTCTCACTCATCATCCCTCAGACACATATCCATTTTCGATAATTCAAATGGAAAACACAAAGACCGCCGCCGCCGTCGCCGGAGCTCCGGCGGCCATCGCCATTCCTGAGGCGGCGATGGTAGAAGCGGCGGCGGTAGGGTTTTCTCCGTCTTCTCTGTCCCCGACCTCATCGTCGTCTTCCCCTAATTCCTCCTCCTCCTCGGCGGCGGCTCCGGCGGTGATCCTCAGCCCTTGCGCCGCCTGCAAGATTCTCCGGCGGCGGTGCGTCGAGAAGTGTGTTCTGGCGCCGTATTTCCCGCCGACTGACCCCCTCAAGTTCACCATTGCCCATAGGGTTTTTGGAGCTAGTAACATTATCAAATTACTTCAGGTAATTAATTAATTAGGTTATTTTTTTATTTTATTTTAGTACTATAATTTTTTATTTTTATTTTTTAAAAATACATTAAATACCTATTTGCTCGGGTAAAACATTATATTAACTATTAAATTTTTTACTATTTTTTAAATTTTCAAAAAATCTAGTTTTTTTTTTTTTTTCCTTTTGTTCTCAATTGTTTTAATTAGGTAACACTATGTATTTTTCGAAAAAAAATTATATATATATTTTTTTATAACAAAACGTCTTATTAAATTTTATTTAAATAAAAAGTCGAAGCAAAATCTTTCTCATTCAAAACTCTTGTCAAAACAAAATAATGGTTTATAACACTGTCCGTACAATTAATGGTGTTTGTTGAAGTCCATGAATGCAAAGGCCTGCAGACAATTCAGAGAATTAAATGCAAAGATATAAGTAATTTTCTATTCTTTTAAATTTTGGGTTTTTTGTAATTTAATATTCTTTATTATACTCATTTTCTTTATATATCAATTTTTTTGTAAATTACAAAGGAAAAGAGTATAATTATACTCATTTTCTTTGTATATATATATATATATTTATATATATTGTATGAATGGAGATGTTTGGTTCTATCATTCATAAAAATAAAATAAATTGACTTGGTGTCATATATATATATATATATTTGAAAAGCATAAGAGATAATTTGATATACGGTGTTATTATTGATTTTATAAAAAATATATATATATATTATAAAATATACTTACAAGTATGAACTGTTTTATGTGTACTAACCGTAACAATCATTTTTGGAAAATATTTTAAAATGCTTGACTTCTTGAACTTGCCATTTTCTATGAGGCAAACCGAGTCCATACCTATCCTCCAACCTGAAAATGATATAACAAATATATATATATATACTTAAGGGTCAAAGGGGTAGGCACCTAACTTAGCTTTAATAAATCAACATTAGCCATCTTTTATTACATAACTTTCCCACCACTAAAACATTAACTAACTAACCAAAACACTACATACAAAGTAACAATGTGACAAAATGACATATATATATATATATACCAATATATATTTATACATATTTCATATTTATAATACAATATAGATTATATTATAATACAATGTATGCTATCTTATAACACAACATATATTATACAATATGAATAATATATATTGGTCATTCGTATACCATATATTGATCCGATCAAATTAGCTCTATATTAATTTGGTTGAATTAGCAAAAGATCTGTTGCATATATATATATATATATGTATATGTAATACCAAAATATACTTTTGTGCACTATCAAGAAACCTTACTCTTCTAAAAAATTGCCCAATTTTCTCATAATAATGTCTAAAAAATCTACAATATGTTTAGTTTTGTAATAATTGTAATGATTATCAAACTAATTAATTATATAATTTATGTATATAGGAGCTCCCGGAGTCTCAAAGAGCCGATGCCGTGAATAGTATGGTGTATGAAGCCAATGCTCGTTTAAGGGATCCAGTGTACGGTTGCGCGGGCGCAATTTGTCATCTTCAGAACCAATTAAGTGAACTGAAAGCTGAGCTAGCAAAGGCGCAAGCCGAGATTCTCAATATGCAATGCCAAAACTCAAACTTGTTCGACCTAATTTGCAAGCAAATCGTAGCGCCAAATGATATCCAACAAATCGCGTCGTTGCCACAATCTCCGCCATCCGTTCATGAGAATAATCCTTCCTTTTATTTCGACGAGAGTATTTTGGGCGTCGCTTGGGAGCCACTTTGGACATGAAATCCCCCGAAGAACCGAATTAGGGTTCATATTGACATCATACACATACACTTCAACTAAGAAACTAAAGGACCTATCAACAAATAATTCGATAATATTAGGGTTTTTAAACTTAATTTAATTAGCGAGAAAAAAAAAATGTTTTCGCGTATCTTGATTATAATTTATAGTTGTTTGTATTTGACAAGAACATATGTACTTTCATGTCTTTTCCAGAGGAAACAAGAAATGTAAACAAGAGGGCACATATGTTATACATATATATTATGTATTATGACAATGAGATCAAACCTTCAACTTAGATTGTTATAAACTTTATTAATGGTCACATTTTCTTGTCAACTCTTTTCCCTTAGGTTCTTTCTTTATCAAGTTCCCACTTGACTAGGGACTCTTCAATTCTTGCCTATTTTTTATTTTTATTTCAATAATTAAAAAAAAAAAAAAAAAGAAAGAAAGAAAGAAAAATCACTCTATTCTTTTCAATAAATAAATATTCAAACTTGTTCATTAAATATGTATCTACGTGCTACAAAATACACACACAGATATATATATATATATATATCATAATAGTCACTAAAATTGGCATGGACAAAATAACATCCTAATATTTAATGTGTGTGTTTTCCTTAGTTTCTCTATATGCAATCTCAAAATAATTTTTTATTTTGTCAGAAAATATCACGTAAAACTACTATTTAAATCAAAATTTAAACACAACTATAAAGGAAAATACAAACCAAACACATCCTTAACTTTTTTTATGGGACAATTATATATATATATTCATATATATCAAATTTTAAAATATTTTCTTGGGTGTTTTACTAGTGTATTTATACGTGTTTTGGTGTTATTTTGGTGATTCAATAAAATATAAATATTGAAATTAACTTTCGAGATCAAGTAATATGAAAATGGAAATAAAATACAAGGTAAGACATCCCTTTTTCTTTTTTATTTTTTTATTTTTATTTTTCAGATATTGGGTTCATATATAAATGTGGAAAACGGATTAGCCACCATTTTGTCCCTCTAAATTAATATATCAATATATAGGCATGTGAAAAGAAGAAATCCCACACAATAAAGGTAACCTTATTGTTCATGCAGTAACAAGACCTCATATTTATTAATCTATATATTTATATATAAATATATATAGTTCACGTCAATTTTTTATTTTTTTTCCTTATAAAATATCATGTAAAATACTTATTTTTTTACTATTATTAAATTTTATTTTTTTATTTTATTCTCCAATGTCTATGAGTTATAAATTAGTGGGATCTACTTACAGTGTTTTATTTCAACTGTATTAATATATATATATAGATTCAAAATATTCTATACATAAAATTCTTTTTTGTTACTCGATCATGTATAAAACACAATTATATATTTATTATATAATTTTATTCTTTATAAAATAAAATAATATGCATATTCAATAAATCTTATTGAGGTATATATATTAATATACTTAAACATTCATTTTAAATTTATTTTAAATCAATATATATTATATCACAACCCTAATATTAATTAATATTTCATTTTCAGGATTAAAATTAAACTTCCAACCACAATTTGAATTGATAACCAAACAAACCCAATATATCTTTTCTTTTTATTTGTATATATATAAACGCTATTGTTCAGTACTGATTTGGAAAAATCAACACTGTATTTATTTCCTCAAATAGTACCGATGAAAAATACAGATAACATATATCAAAAGTGCAGATAAAATATGCTCTGTAAAATAGAGCATATGTTATTTGTTCGTATTTACAACATATATTTAATAAAAAAAAATGTCATATGCTCTATAAGATTATTACATATATTCTTAATTCTTTTATTGTATTTGTTTCATGTTAGTTAGTATAAATAATGTGTTTTCTTTGTAATGATATTGTGTATTATCTGATAGCAAATAAACACCATAACCACCCCATATATAATACTCTATCAATCCCATATAATTTATCTATATTTTCTATTTTTGTCCGTCTTACATAATTTGTCTTTTGTTTTTTTGGAAATGTGATTATACACTTTAATCACATTTAGAATTTTATAATTTTTTTAATTTTAATTAAACTATTTAGTTATCTTAATCTTTATTTATAATTATTTTTACTAAATAATAATTATTTTTACTAATACACCTCTTAACTACTAAATTCTTATATCTACTGTAATAAGCCCAAAATATATGAGACAGAGAAAGTATATAAATATAGATATATTAGTGTGCGCGCACATGTATTTTATTTATTGTTTATTTGTCCGGACATGTATTGGGTTATAGTGATTAATCTTACTATCGAATATGATGAAAACGTGTGGGTCGTCATCTTTATTATTGCAATGATTTATTTATTTATTTATTGTAGAAAACTCTTGAGAAATGTTAATCCAATGTATTTAGTAATTATTAGTGTATGTAAACATAAGATTTTACCTCATATAACCATATGCAATAATTATAAAATGAAAAAAATTTAGTATTGTACGCTATTATGTTCGGCCGGGCCCAGGTCTACCCAGAGCACACCCAAAATGTACAAGCAGGGGATTCTTACATTAGGAAAAAAAAAAAAAAAAAAAAGATTTGAGTGCCAATTATAACTTTTATTCTCTCTCAAGCAATTATTACCGAATTATGAAAAATTAATTTATGCAAAAAAAATTGCCTAAAAATAAAATGTCGAACATATGAGATAAAAAAAAAAAAAGAAAATCTATGTTGTATTCTTTTAATGTTTTGGATTTTGTAGAATTATGTTATAATTATTAGTTATTGAGACTTGTAAAAAATATTTTGGGGAATTATGAATGTTGTTTAGGGTAGAGAAATTTGTTGTTTTTTAAGTGTTTTGTAAGAAAAAAAATAGGGTAAAATGTTTTTTTAGTCCCGCAACTGGACCCCTTATCATTTTAGTTCCGTAAGTGGAGCCTGTCGCAAATTAGTCCCATAAGTGAAAAATTTTCGTTGTTTTAGTCCTCCGGCGCCGGAGACGCCTGCGTGGCTCGCCGGAGGTGACGTGTCCGCTAGGTGTCCCGCCAGGTAAGCGACACATGGCAGACACGTGAATTTTTAATTTTTTTAATTTTTTTTAATTTTTTTGGACCAAATAAAAAAAATTAAATAAAATATACAAATAAAATTAAAAATAAGTTTTAAAAAAAATTAAAAAAATGACATAAAAAATAAAAAACCACGTGTCCGTCAGGTGTCGCTGATCTGGCGGGACACCTGGCGGACACGTCACCTCCGGCGAGCCACACCGGTGTCTCCGGCGCCGGAGGACTAAAGCAACGAAAATTTTTCACGTATGAGACTAGTTTGCGACAGGCTCCACTTATAGGACTAAAATGATAAGAGGGTCTAGTTATGGGACTAAAAAAACAGTTTATCCAAAAATACAATGTACTTCATTCATCTCTTGATACACTATCTATTCTTTTTTATTTTGGTCCTTCTAAAATAAGAAAATATCTATTTTCTTTTTTAGTAACGATACTATTTACCTAATATTACAAATATCTTTCAAATTTACAACATATTATACAAATGTCATTACATTTATATTATACAATACTAATAAGATTAATTTAATCTTTTGACTTTTATCTCTACTACATATTTTTTATGGCAAAATGTGAGTAATATTTTTTAATTAAAAATTTTGGGAAGGATGAAAAAAAAAAAAAAAAAAAAAAAAACCCTAATTTTGTCAAATGTGATCACATAATTTCGTAGTTTAAAAAGATTGTGTGAATATGCAGAAGTCTTGTGTACGTGCAACATCAAAAACCCTAAGACAACAACATCAATATTTGAACAATCATTTTACCTTTAGAGTTTCTCACTTTGACATCTAATATCTCATAAATTTGATACTATGTTCGAATTAATTAATGAGAAATCGGTATTTTTGTAAATGTGGTATATTATGTCAATTGTAACAATTTACTTAATATATATATATATATAGCGGGTAAATTTTTTTAGTAGATTCCATAAAAGTTTGATACGATTCTTTCAAAATACGATACGCAATTTATGTATATTAATTAGGTAGTTTAAAATTGTCGGGTTTTGAATCTGAAAAATTGAAAAAGAAAATAAAGTAACACTTGTCGATAATATAATTCAATAATTTGACCTAAATGTGAAAAAATAGTGCTAATTATGAATATTCAACCCTTGTTATTCATATTTTTTGCTAATGTTTATTATGATCAATTAGGAATGTTACTTTTTACTTTATCCACATAAATATATATATATATATATCATATCATATCATATCATATCGTTACGTAATATTAATTTAATTTGTACATAAAAATCAAAACATCTTGAGCCATAATTTTATACTAAAAAAAAATAAAAAAAATTAAAGTGATTTATACTTCAAATGAAACAAACTTTAAATTAAAATGAATATATGAGATTATATATATCGGGATAAAAAATACAAATTATGTATATATGGTCAATTATTATTTCTCTTATATATTTCATTGTGGTTTGATCATATACCTTGCAAAAGAATAATTTCTTTTTTTTCTTTTATTAATTTTATTTTTGTGTCTTTTTGTACGATGACATATAAAAATAAATAAATAAATAAAAATTATGTGAATTCAATAGTTGAAGGACAAAAAAAACAAAAAAAGAAAAAATTAAACTTTAATTTTTATATATGGATCCAAAACAAAATACATGATATTGATGTATATAATTAAATTTGTAGTTTTCCCTCATATTCGATATTCTTTATGTGTTTACAATGATAATTGTACCATTATAAATGAATCTCTATGTTTTTTTTTTTTAATGAATTATATATATATTGGTAATTGTTGAGATATTTTAAATATTCAGTTTTAGATTTATACGTAGATTTGATTTAATTCATAGATTAGATTACTTAGATTTGACTCTATCGAGTCTATTTTGTATTGTCTATATATAGGCTCTTTGTTTTGACGATCAATAAGACAATTTTATTATTTTCCCCTAAAATTTCTAACAGTAATAATTTGTATAAAGAGCATAATTGAGTTTGTATGTCGGCATGCATGAACACTTTGGTTTGAATTTAACTTTTTGGTTACTTTTTGTACATTATTATTTTTTAATTTATAAATTAGTTAATTATCAACAATATACAAACTAACTATTCATACGTGCATTAGATCTTAAAGTGACAAAAT